TATATATATAATATACATATACATATATGTATATAATATGTATATATATATATATATATATATATATATATATAAAGCCTTTAGCTTGGACGGACAGATATGGAATTTTATCAGCTTTGGTTTACAGTTCCATATGGACAACATTTACGTGATGTTAAATCAGAGAGCCCAGTAGCCGGCCACCAAATCTATATTATGTATGAAATAGTATTCCCGGTCCCGAGGATACATATAAATGGTATACAGTATCTTTATTCACCTGCAGGCTCCACTTGATAAACGTTTTCTTTTTCAAGTTGATTTATAAGAACGTCCCCTGTAGGTGAAAAGCAACAAAGCTGTATTGACAACAAATCCTTTATCGTCTTTTCCATGTGTGATGCATGCTTTTCCAGCCAATTACCCGATTAACACATCTACATTTATAAAATCTATTATCTCGAGATGAACGATCAAAGCACTAAAAATGCGAATTTGCAAAAAGAAATATCTGCGGTGAAAATGTCATCGAGTGTCCTGCGTATGAAGCTGTATTTGTCCAGTAAATGAAGCCCTTAGTTGCTCAGCAAAGCAAAGGGTAATCTGCCCCTTCCTACTGATTGTTTGATTATTCGCAACGAGACATCACTCACTGAACAAATGTTATACCTTTCTGGATATCCCAGAAGAGAAATGAGAAGGTCAATAGTGTGCCCACATGCAGCCAGTCAATTTTGTAACTTCGACATACCCCAACAACGACTCCAACGAAAAAATGTTGCTCGATATGATAAAGAGGGAACCGTCACTGCTATACACACATACATAAATGCATACATACATACATAATACATACATACATACATACATACATATATATATACGTATATACGTACATACATACATACATACATACATACATACATATATACGTACATACATACATACATACATACATAGAGGCATACATACTTGTATACATACACACATGCATACATACATACACATACAGACATACACACATACACGCATATATAACACATTATGCACAGACACAGACAGGACACATCGATCGCCGAGGCTGGACGCTGACAAACACAATGTCGCGATGCAATCTTCAACAGACAACTACCCGTCGCTTCGTTACTTGTCATATATTACACTTCCCGATCAATAGCCCTCTCCGTACCTCTATTCACCCTTATAGCAGTCAGAGACGGTGACTTCTGGCTCTTCGCCAACTTTTATCACGAACACGTTAATTGTGGTGTAGATCGAGAGATAGAAGGGGAACGTTGCATTGTCGTGTTAGTTTTTGTGGCAGCATCAATTTTTTCTGAGTTTATTTTGTGAAGCTGTTGGATAATGGAGTGATGACCGTGAGGGTAGGTAAGTGTCATGGAATTACTCAAAAAGACATCGTATCATGCTATTTCTTCATTTCATCCCCATTAGGTTGCTAATTGGTGTTTTCAACAGCCCTTTATAACATTTTTCATTGAGGAGGCGGTGTTCAATGGTGATACGTAACAGTGGAGCTGCGATATTCATTTCTTCGCTGGACAATGATAAGCGCCTCTATTTGGTAATTCTCGGTACTCTCTGCATAGCAATCACTATAATTAATGTCGCTATTTTATTTGTAACTCTAACAGTAACTCTTTTATTTGGATTATTTGTTCTAAGTTTTTTGGCTGTGGGCATTGTATTTGGTGTCATACTAGCTGCTGTAAATGTTGAAACTCCGGCTGTATTCAAGCATATTTTGAGAAACATAATTACGCGGTAATACTTGCTCTACCAATCAAAACAACGCGTACTTATCTTGGTGAGCATTCTTACCCATGTATTTTCAATCTGAACTCATATTTTGGGGTTTCTAATGATTCCTAACGTCTGTTCTATCATTCTTTGCTGGTTTTTGTGATCCCACCTAAATTTACTTTTCATTACAGATCATACTGTTAGATTACGATGTTACTTGTGAATAAGGGATCTGAAATCCTTACCAGATTAGGCGGTAAGTCGGCTTCATGCAATTATTTTCCTGATTTATGACTTTCATTGTTGGGTGTGAAAATCGAAACATTTGTTGAGGTCGCTATAGTGCATTGCTGATAGTCCTATTCACTTTTGGTTAATTTTTATTGTAGGTTATTCTCTCCAACGCTTACATCAAGTCTGAAGAGTCAGCATAAAGGTTTAAAAAATTGTAGGATATCATTTGTTTTTCGGAATTTGAAGACAGATGGAAGTTACGCATCAAGTGATGTGGGAAGTGATTTAAAGGTTGTTTATGTGGAGGTGTGTTTTTCCATGAAAAACTTGGTTTACATGCTGCATACTTACAACTGGTGTGTGTATTCGGAAAATGGAATATATTTAAATTCTTGTAACGGTTATTTTTTGGACAGAAATAGTGGAAGCTATTGAGAAATATACAGCAGTAGAGAACTATTATCAAACTAAAAAGTAATGAAATAACTTGTTGAAACTTGTTAAGAAATAGAGGACGATTATCGAGGGAAAAATAGTGAAAACTTGTCGCTTTTTCGTTCGTCGCACTGGTAATTTATCTTTTGGAGATGCGAAATGTCTGCTGTCATTAAGGGAGCACGGAGACATTAACGCTAAAGCGCATAGCAAATCGTACAGTTTTAAGAATTTGTGTTTTCAAACAATGTATATGTACTAAGCTGTTTGTGTGAGATTATAAATTTCACTTGAGATTATAAATTTCACTTTTCAGTCACAGCCTTCTGGAGTAGTCGACGAGCTTATTGTTCCGTAACTGCAGTAGTAATATTATTTTGGTGATATCGGTTGTAATATTTTGCACGGTATTTCAACTTCTGGAGCATTACAATACCGAGTATGGTTGTCAACACGCATGCCAGTAGTTCTTTGTTTCCCATTTATGTTTTGTGTGTTACAGCTTCTAGGTTCCTCGTAGGATGCCACTACAACTTTTTTTTTTTCAAATTTAACAAGTCCCATATTTATAACTGCTTTATAAATAGTCGTTTGCAGTTTTGCTTCCAGAACTTTCTTCTAACGCAAATTACTTTTGGATCATTTTAGTGAGTCGATTATTTGCATGTATGAACCCACTACTGTTATTACTGTTTTCGTTATTTGGAGCGGTGATAATTATTGCCTCGTTAGGATCTTCTAAATCTGTGTTGACTACTTTGATACATGTAAATACATGTATTTGCGCATATCGCGTTGTTTTCATGGGACAATTTTTAAAGGTTTGTACTACGCTATTTTCTTTATTTTCTAAATAATATCGAATTGTACTCGATAATCGACACTGGTACAGTCTGGAAAATAAACCTTGTGATTATAAGTATTTATGATATACTTCCTTTCACTCTCCCAGGTCTGATAATTTTGTGTGGGAATGGTTTTGGAACACTAGATGTATTTGTTACGCATACATTTTTTGCAGCTGGAGTCTTTCTAATGTCACTGTTAAGTACTTTCATCCTTTCTGATGCTGCTGTTCTTTATTCACATTTCAATGAACTACCAGATGACCATAATGTATTCAAATGTTTGCTCATAAAGCGGGAAATGAATTTATTGTCAACGCAGTCTGGCAGTGATATATTCTAATCCAGTCCTTTAAAGAATTCGACCACTTCAAAATCTTTGAAGCAATTTTCTATGAGGTTTACATATTTAATTACCAGGCCCAAGCATCAAGATTGCTTGGAATCATTTTTTTCGGAAAATCTTCATTCAGATGGGATTAGGTGGTCCCGAAACTCAGTTTTATTCCTCCATAGGAATTTCAGAAGATGTTGGTCTTTCTGCTTCCTAAATTTACTTAAAATGAGTAAAGGGAGTCGAATTTAATGTAGCCGGAGTGCTATGTGTTTCTGGGTTTACCTTATATTTCTTAGTTGGTGTTCTGGTTCCTAGTCTTGTTTATTTAAAACCTGGCCACATTATTGGAGTTTAGTTAGTTGCGAAGCTTAACACTTAAGGAAATCTACGAAAACGGAAAGAGGCTATAAAACATATAAAGTCAACGCAGGAAGGAGAGTTTGTTCACAAACAGTTTTTTACATACCAACAGGCGGATTTGTTATTGAAACTAAATTCCTTATTAGAATTTATAGCTGGTTTAGTATTGGAATGAAACATATATTTTGATAGTTCATATTTGCTAAGGTTTTTTTTTTCGGGATAGAAAGTTAGTTTCATAAAAGATTAAGCGTTGAATCGCAGCGGAAGAATGAAAGGTACTATATGATGCAACTGTAGGATGAACTTCAAAATTCATTGTATTGCAGGAAAATTTAAATGAAACCATCGTTTAGACATTCCATTGTTGGAGAACATGCAGGAAATCAAAGCAACATTATACATTCCAGTGCAAGTTCTTACATTAGTATCTCTCTTGCATCATCGTTTCCTGATCTGGGAAAAGTGTTAAAGGAACTGTAAGAAGCATGGACCAAACCGAAATGACAGCCATTAGGAATATAATCTCTGCAATCTTTGCACCTCATTCATTGACAGAGCGAAATAACATTACTGCAAATTTCATATTCAGTGATGAGTCATACTCATTTCTGGGATTGAACTAGCATATTGCCACAACATGCACCAGTTTCTGGACACTAGAGGATTTAGAACAGAAAATAAGCCTATTTTTGTTCACTTTCATATTTATGGGGAGAAAGTTGTTTTTATTCCTTGTTTTTTAGTTTGGTCCGTTTCAAAATGTCCATATGGTGTATGCAGTGGCAATATTTTTAGGCTTGTGCTGTCAAGTTATGTCTCGTTGCAGCAGTCTGTAATGGCGGTTATGTCACAGTATCCAATTTGCAGATCGAAGAGGTATTGGAGAGCTTTTCGCAAGTTTCATGATGGCTTTTGTTGCTATTTGTCATGAACTTTTTGTTTGCCAGGTTCTTAGTAGCTCTGGTTAACATAAGTTAAGAATATGAGACCGAAATCCAGCCTTGTAACGATTTGTTACAGGGAGACATATGCTTATTCAATTGTTGATTGGAGGAGAGGAGTGAAAAGTGATTGCGAACTTTGCTGTACCCTCTCAGTTATGGTGCCTTGCGTAAATTCTTCGCAAGACTTGAAGTTGTTATACATTCATGCAGAATAATGTCCAGAAACAGGTTGCGTTTTCTGCTTATAAGTTTGAAATTCCTTCTTATATTTACAACATTTATATGTTTCCTAGCTCCAGGCAGTTCCGAATCCATTTGCGAATTGGAAGGAAATGGCAGTTTCATGGCGTATTTATTCATTTTTCTTTTTATTGACTGGTGACTGTAGATCTTGTTGGAAAAGCTTGACTTTCTATGCTTTATTCAGACCGGAATTCTTTCCTAACAAAAAGGGCCTTTCATTACATCCACTTTCTGGCTTGGCATTGTTACGTGGATGGTATTCGTGCTTACGTTAGTTTTAAAAAAATCCTCGTGGTATTCGTG